GCAGGTTTCTAGTTTATCTTCCGTGATGCCCTTCCATCACCCTGGCAAAACATATGTCACCAGCACCCGTTGTAGAGCAACATCCTTAGGAGAGCTGTAGGCCCTTGTCTGTATTCTTGTGGTTTGAAATTAGGCTCCAGAATAGGTGATCTTGATCCATATTGCTAAGGGCAGAGAGCTATCCTGCAAATCACTGGTCTTCCGCCGGTAGGTCGGGAGCCACTAGTGGGTCACAGCCTGATTCAAAGTGGGTCACAACAGGAGCACTGCCTCCATGCAAATGTATGGTTAAAAAAATACTAATTCGAAATGCACCCCCAAACACATGTTTGGGTTAAAAGTGGGTTGAAGATAGGTTGAAGATACCTGCTGTAAATGCAATCATCTACACTAGATTCTCATTCTGGTTAACTTGCTCAGAAGTAGCCAGTGGATAGGCTTGTGCCAACCTTGGCTTTTTGGAACTGCTGTGGGAAAGATTTTTTAAAAAATGATATGCAGAAATGTTAACTAAGATGGCTAAGAGTGGTGCTTGGCAGCAAATTACGCTTTATAGTGGAGCTATCTAGTACGATCTTTATAAAACAGGCCTTCTTGGGTTAAGGAAAGGTCACATGCTACACAAAGTTTGAAGGCACAGGGTGTATTACTCAAGGCTTTCCCTCCTGTGTATAGTAAACATTATTTGAACCCTTATTATTAAGACCATGCCAGAATTCAAAAGATTAAATAAGGAAGATGCAATTATGAGCTAAATAATAAACAGAGCAGATTCAGTTCCTGTTGCATTTTTTGCTTTCCTGCCATTGTTTAATATATGGCTTTTATACAAAGAGCAGCTTAGGTCAGCTACTATAAATTATGCTTTTAGTACAATGGTAATCCAGTAAAATTATTTCAAAGCTTGATCAAAGAGATTCAAAAGTCCCCTCTAAACTTTTCCATATTACAGGGGGTGGAGACTCATTTTGAAGCCTTAACTGTTTCAGTTTGGTCCAATAATATTTGGTGCAATCCTGACAATACTGAAATGTGTGCCCTACATTTGGAAAGACATGATATGGGCAGATTTATTTGAGGCCTATGGGGAACTTATACCAGCTGATGCTTTTAAAGACACCCATTAAGACTCATGTCTTAAGGCATCACACTGGAAGTGCTGAACCGTGTTTACCCTTATAGGAACAAGACTGTGCGAAGCTTGGGCTCACATGCTCCTATCTCTCCTCTCCTCTCCCAGTTTGGCTGTACTGAAGGAGAAAAGATTGAAACTGGGGAGTGTGCAAGCATTTTTGCAAAGCTAAATCATGCTTTACATTCATTCAAACGATGCTATTAAGTTGATGGAAAAATGGGAGGGAAAATAATGTTAATCGCAACATAATAAAAATGTAATAGGCATTAGTTTATTGTGTTTAATTTATTTATTTCATCAAAATTATACACTGCTTGGTTGTAGAAAAAAATCCTCAAAGCTGTTTACAAAAAGATAAAACAAGAAAATTATCAAGAAGAAATTGCAACTGTTTAAAACATCCAAAAAGTTAAAGTATTAAATCGGGTTGAAAGTCATATCAGCTTTCTAAGCCCCTGGGTAGGCTTGTTTAAACAAGAATGTTTTTCCGCAGTTGCGGAAAAGAATACAGTGAATGCAGCTGCTTGATATTTAATAATAATAATAATAATAATAACAACAACAACAACAACAACAATAATAATTTATACCCCGCCCTCCCCAGCCAAGGCCGGGCTCAGGGCGGCTAACAAGCAATAATAAAAACAAGTTGAATGAATACAACTTAAAAACAAGATTAAAATACAACATTAAAATATTGAAACATTAAAATATAAAAATGCAGCCTCAACACAGGAGGAGAAAAAGAAAAGGAAAAAATAAAGAGGGGGAGGGAATCAAATTGGCTCCAAGCCAAAGGCCAGGCGGAACAACTCTGTCTTACAGGCCCTGCGGAAAGAAATCAGATCCTGCATGGCCCTGGTCTCATGAGGCAGAGCGTTCCACCAGGCCAGAGCCAGAGTTGAAAAGGCCCTGGCTCTGAGGCTAATCTAACCTCCTTAGGGCCTGGGACCACTAGGGTGTTGCTATTTATGGACCTTGAGGCTCTCTGTGGGACATACCAGGAGAGGCGGTCCCGTGGGTACGAGGGTCTTAGGCCTAATAAAACAACTGTAAGCAACCATTTCTCCATCAACGCTCTATCATAGTAAAGCAATGCAGATCGGGGGCAACACTATGCAAAAATACACACACATTCAGTTCTCAGTGGCTGGGATTGGCAGAGGCTGTCATGACTCCAGAATCGAGTAGTGATCAAGATTCCAGAAGAAGCAGAGTCACCAGCTAAGGGGCCATAGTGACCAGAGGGCCACTACATCAGAGACACCTTGGACCAGATCCCACCGCACTCAGGTCTCTCAAGCACCTTCCTCTGAGCCTCAGGTGTGCCTCCCAGCCTACATTGTGATTCTCAGCAGTGCAAGGAGTGCACAAGACAAGAGCCCAGGTAGCATTGACCTGCCCATCAACAGACCAGAAGCTTGGTCCTTTAAGGATTGCAGTTCTCACAAATGAGTGGAGGAAGCTAGGAGAGGTGGACTGGAGGCAGAGGTTGAAAAGGCCTTTGACCTTTAGCCTTTGTTTGGGCAAGTTGCTCACTCAGAGCTGTCTATGGTGCTTCAAGCCCTGCCCCTTCACCGAACTGGAACAGGGCAGAGGCAAGGACATGGTATTTGGTGCTGCTTCACCAGCACTTTCCCAGCAGGCAAAGCAATTCTCTCTCCCCACCCTATGGATCACCTTTCACAGGTGGGTGGGACCACCCATCCATCAATCACTGGGTGGCATGATGACATCCAATGATTGGCAGGTGGATAGCCTCACCCATGTCAAAGTTGGCCTGCAGGATGGGAGGAGATAAGGATCTGGCCCACGGGGATGGGGATGTTCCTGCACCCACCTTAAATAAAAGGGCTAGAGATCAATTAATTTTTATTGAAAACTGGAAATTTATAGACTGGACCTGAAAGATATTTGGAAAGTTAGCTCCTTTCTCTGGTGGCTGAAGCCTTGAGCTGTTGTAATAAGCAATAATATCCATTTCCTGGAAGTGTTTGAGTTTTGCATGTTTTATCACAAACTGTAATCCCATCTCCTGCTTTATGACATGAGATAGGGTAGTTCTACTGTTTAGGCCACCCTTTGGGGTGCAAGTGAGCCAAAGTTAAACTTGTTTCGCATCATTGATAGCCATTTGAGAGAGTTAACATGTACTTAACCTTCTTGATAACAATATCAGAAAATTAATGTGTTTTATTTACTTAGTCAACTGAGGGACAGCTTACTATATAAGAAATATCTCAAAGTGGTTTGCAGTTAAGGTCAAGGATTCTAAATCAGCAAAGAGACAAGGACTCTAGAACATACTGCAGGCTCAATGCATATATACAAATTATATAAGTAGTCAACAAATATAATTATTTAATAAATACTCGTATTTACAATTGCAAATGTAAAAGCTGGAGTTTAAATTTATATATATATATATATATGCGCAGGCTATAAAATTATACAAATAACAAGCAGTACTATCCAGAGATCAATCGTCAAAAAATACTGTTTTTCAGTCTCTGAAACATGCTACAGATAATAATAATAATAATTACTTAATTTATTAATTAAATTAATTAAATACCCTTCATCTGTAGATCTCAGGGCAGTTCACAACATGATTACAATATGAAAAACACAAAATACATAATAAAAATAAGAACAGAAGCAAACTAATAACCCGCCCTCCCAAACACATTTAAATGGGCATTGGATGTCAATCAGCTAAAGGCCTGGTTGAAATGGAAAGTTTTTGCTTGCCGCCTAAAGGTGAAAGTGTCAGCTGAACCTCCCTGGGGAGAACATTCCACAAATGGGGAGCTAGAGCTTCCCAGATGGCAAAAGGAGAACGTTCCAGAGAACACCTTTCCCAGCATTGACCTACACAGTCATCAGGATCGTTGGATGAGACTTGGTTGACTGGGCCTCAACTTGCAGTCTGCCAACTAGCAGCAACACAGAAGTGGTCCTTCTCCATGGTAACACCTATTTTATATCCAGTGTGGGGAACCTTTATCAGCCCAATGGCCACATTTTCTTCTGGACATTGTTCTGGGAACACATGCAAGTGGCAGGAGGAGCCAGAAGCAAAAGTGAGTGGAGCAGTTAATGTGAATTTGTGCAATAGGTCATTTTCTACACATGCGGACACACCCCTCTATATCCTCCATCCAAGTCAGCAAGAGGCATTCCAAGTTCAAGAAAACTTTCCAGCCTGCCAAAAGTACTAAACAAGGGTTTGAAGCAAGACTAGTAAGGGGTTTGACCTGGGAGAGGTGTGGCCGAGTCCCATGGGCCAGCTAGAAAGGCTTGGAGGGACATGAAGTACATAGTTTAATTTTAAATTGTAATTTAAATTCTCATTGTTATTGATACAAAATACCTTTTGCTTTAGAGCACAGAGCCTAGGACTTGCCGATCAGAAGGTCGGCGGTTCGAATCCCCACGACGGGGTGAGCTCCCGTTGCTCGGTCCCTGCTCCTGCCAACCTAGCAGTTTGAAAGCAGTGGGAAGGTAAACGGCATTTCCATGTGCTGCTCTGGTTCACCAGAAGCGGCTTAGTCATGCTTGCCACATGACCTGGAAGTTGTACGCCAGCTCCCTCAGCCAATAAAGCGAGATGAGCGCTGCAACCCCAGAGTCGGCCATGACTGGACCTAATGGTCAGGGGTCCCTTTACCTAGGCAAACTAAGGCCCGGGGGCCGGATCCGGCCCAATCACCTTCTAAATTTGGCCCACGGACAGTCCAGGAATCAGCATGTTTTTACATGAGTAGAATGTGTGCTTTTATTTAAAATGCATCTCTGGGTGATTTGTGGGGCATAGGTATTCCTTCATTTCCCCATCCCCAAATATAGTCCAGCCCCCCACAAGGTCTGAGGGACAGTGGACAGCCCCCTGCTGAAAAAGTTTGCTGACCCCTGCTTTAGGGTCCCCAGTCTAAGCAATAGACGTTGCTATACATCATTTCATATCTGTAATAATAATTTTGGTATATATAAGTTGACACAACTTTGTTAATATAGTCAGAAACATTTATTGGAGTGCTTATTGTTTTATTTTTCATTTGATGTAATTGTTGCATGTCGTATGCTCTGATCTAAACCAAGGTAACTCAGTGCAACCACGTCAAACAGTTTAAAGATGAAAATGAATAAAAACTACGAAATGAAGGGAAGGCAAAAAGGAAGGGAAGGGAAGAGGGAACAGAAGAGGGAAGGGAAGGGAAGGGAAGGGAAGGGAAGGCTTGGAGGGCTGCATTGTAGCTCTGGGTCTGAGATTCCCTGCTTTCTATGTTAATAACAAGACCTTGAACATGACTCCATTACTAATAGGTAGACAGTGCAGTTCATTGAAGACCAGTGTAATAGGTGTGGCCAGATCCCCCAGTCTCTACCCTCCCCAGCCACCAAATTCTGCACTAGATACAGCTCCCAAATCATGACCAAAGATTGTCCCACACAGAATGCCATGAGGTTACCAGTGCATGGAACACAGTGGCCAAGCTGTCCCTGTTCAAGAAAGGCTATTGTTGGCTTAGCAACCAAAGCTGACCATGGGCGCTCCTCGCCACTGAGGTAACCTGAACCTCTCATGGCAGTAGTATCATTCCAGGAGCACCCCCAAACTACTTTTTTTCTTTCTTTCAGAGGGGATGCAATCCTGTCTGCAGCAGATAAAAAATTTGATTCTCAGATCTGGCAACCATTCACCCCCAAGTCTCCATTATAGAGAAATGTGCATCTTATGCATGTCTACTCAGAAATAGGCCACATGAGATTTAATGGCTCTTACTCCCATGTAATTGCACTGAAGCCTTCTTTTCTCATTCAAAGCAATGGGGCTTAAGTCTTTCATTTCGACTACATTGCATCCTTTGCTACACTCCCATTTCTGGGGTAGATTTAGCCTCGGTCATCTGCTGTTATCTGCGCTGATGCATGGACAGGGCATTGTGCAACCATGTCAAAACAAAACGAAGTGTCCAGGCAGGAGGACGGAGGGTATGTCAGACCACATCTACAAAGGCCACGCAACTCTGTCAGGGTGATTCCAGGCAGGCTGTTTAGAAATGCTGAAATGAAATGAAACTAAGTCAATTAAGTGATACCAACCGAGGTTCAGGGTTTAATTGAGGGCCTAAGGTGAAGCCAATGACCATTAACTCCAGTCGGTCATTAATTCACAAAGAAATATCCTTGGCTGAGGTTATTCCTATTATAACGCAGCTTAAGCACTTCCGCTTCTAGAAAAATAGTTTTGCTTTTTGCCCCTTGTGCTGATGGAGAGGGAGGAGGGAGTAATGTTGAGGGGAAAGTGGCCTGTGGCCTGGTTACTACTCTCCCGGAAAATGAATACACTTTGGCCAATCATATCGTATTTTTAGTTCACATGCTTGATGGCAGCAATAGAACTGCGTCTGTGCTCAGTCAAAATCTATTACCCATTGCATTTTTAATTAACATTTAACAATTAAATGACTTTAAATGACTTCTAACTCTGCAAACTTTTCTAATAAAATGAAAGTGTGACAGGATAAGTACTGCAAGTTCATGCCGTAAGATAAATTCTAATGGCGATAATGATTTGCGTGGTGCAGGTCCCTGCCATTAACATAAATCCTGGGTTATATACCAAAATCATTAAGCAAAAAATGCAAATCACACAAACTTCAATAAGATTAGAACTGTGAGTGATTAGTTTGGCTAATCAACCAAAGAAAATGCTTTCTTGGTTCTATTTTAAGTCTGTTAAAGCTCACATTGGAAACTGTGCATGGTTTCTAATGACCTGATGGTTTTCATGGCATCATTTTGTAACCCTCTCTCTACTAGAAGGCTGGCACATGATTTGTTTCTTATGTTTCGTTCCTTGCCGACTTGTAGACTGCAATTGTATGGAATATTTAATATTCCATACTAATAGTGTTAAGGGTAGAAATCATAACAGCCCTATTCCTATGAGACGCTGCAAAGACATATGACAAGGCTGTATACCTAGCCTGTGGAGAAGTGACGCTTGAAGAGTGGGGGAAGATCAAAGAAATAAAATGGAAGGCCCCCCCCCCCCGATCATTATAACAAAGCCAATCTCCCATCTGCCTTTCCAGCCCTTGTTAATTGTGTTTATGCATATATATATATGCAGGTTTTGGTGTCCTCGGGTGTCTTCCCGTGTAAAAGTTGGGGTGTCTAGGCGACGTTTCGACGAGGTCTCACTCGTCATCTTCAGGCTGGTGCTTTCGGCTTCTTGTTACTGGAACAGAAGCCGAAAGCACCAGCCTGAAGATGACGAGTGAGACCTCGTCGAAACGTCGCCTAGACACCCCAACTTTTACACGGGAAGACACCCGAGGACACCAAAACCTGCATTCCTGTACCCGTGAAAATCTACGAAAGCATATATATATATATATATAGGCAGAAAAGAGCAGCAGCCTGGGGATTTGTCTCAGAGCAGGTGTTCTGTGTCTAAGAAGTTGTTTAGGAGTAAGCATGGAGTTGTTTGTGTGAATTGTCTGAAAACACCAGCAGAGGGCAGGAGGCAAGAATTCTACAAGCAAGCTGGTCTTTGACTTCTAAAACTAATTCTATTGACGTTAAGATCCTTAGTTGTTTATTCTGCAGTATCCCCATTGTTTTTGGTGGGGCTATTTAAAAAAAGACACTTTGGGTATTCAAGGCTAGCCTCCCATCCAACTCTGTGCAATATCTCGATGTAAATGTTTTTTCCAAACACTTCAGAACACAGTTATATGTCTCTTGGAACAAACTATGTACAGTTTCAGGCACATCCAATATGTGTTCGACCATGCATGCATCACGTCGAACCTGGAAGTGACCCCCAAAGTCACAAAAATGGGCAGAATGGGGCAGAGTGGGAGGCAGAATAGGGTGCTTGCAGGTTTTCTCAATGGTGTTTCAAATATACGCAATTTCACTTAAATGTGCGGTACCTTGCAACGTAACCCCTGGCTTTAGAAAACAAATGATTCAATCTTAGGGAATTTTTAATGTCAACTCTTCACAGGGTTACCCCACAGAGTCTTTGTGACACTTTAGCAGATGTTATCAATGAAGAGAAACAGCACTGGAAATCACTTTGATACGATGGGGTCCTACATGTCAGATTGCCCTAAGGTTTGTGCACAACGATACGTATCTGAGCACATCACAAGAGCTATGCTGGCCAGAGGAAGGCCAGCTACAATTGGGAATAAGAGCTGGGGCTGTCAATCAAATGCTCCAGAGGATTCTTCTAGATAGGAATGACCTCTGCTGGTTCCTCATCCATGTATACAGCAGGCAGAAATCATGGCGGAATTCTCATTGCATTGTGGAATCCCCCAAAATGCCTTCTGGGGTGGAATCCCATGAAAATGCTTCCTTTGCTATGTTAGACTCAAGGCAATGAAAGAACAACTTGAGAAGCAGCCATTCAGATGAGCATAACATTTCAATTATCATTAGTGTCTTAAATCTTTATTCTGTGACTTTGAAGCTGTTCCTGCTGTGGGACTCTCCTAGAATCATTGGCTGCAGAATTTCAGCTTGGCAACTCTATCCGCAAACCAGGAAAACTGGAACATTTGGATTTAGACTAATTTAATCCCACTGAAGTCAATGGTCACATGGAATCAATGGTGCTAAATGAGCTGGAGTCCATGCACTGCGTCTTAATCGGTTTTAGATTGCAGTCTTACAGCACAATCAAGTGAACATTAGGCACACTTAAGTCCTGTTGGAATTAGCGGGATTTGAGTGGGCCTAAATTTCTCTGGACTGCACCCTTAGGGTCTAATCTTTCTATTACTTTACATAATTGGGTTGCTTGTCTTGAAGACTTCTGAAAGAGATGAAAGGTGCTGACTTAGCTTCTGAGCCACGTTGTTCCTCCCGCTTAGCCAACTCACACCTGTGGAGTGGTGCTGTATATCAGGTGGTGCTGTATATCAATACAGCCTGGGCAGGGAAGATGGTCCCTTGCGGCATTGTGATTAATAGGTGCATATAGGCATGTTACAGAACTGTGTTATGGTTATAAGCTCATCAATATATGGTTATAAAATATAGTTATAAGCAGTCCCCTGATCTTTTGGACTCTCTAATAATATAACAATTGATTAGCCATTTATTAAAAACATTAAGTGTTCATTAGATCTTCATAAATGCAAAATTTAAAAGGTGTCTGTAACAGTTTCAGAAGAGATAAATATTTATTAAATGCTATAAAGACCCGTAATAATGAACCTTGTGACATGCTTCAAGAGATCACAAGTGTTTTAATGTCAACATTTGGCTTGGTTTTCTAGTGATCCCATATTAGAATCTCGTATTTGTTGGTTTAATTCCGGAACAAATCAACTAGGGCAGTGGACATTGTGGTCAGAAGAGGTGGGAGGAAGAATAAGGAAAGTTTAGATGGGAGGCTGGAAGAGAGAGAGAGAGAGAGAGAGAGAGAGAGAGAGAGAGGGAGAACAATGCATATCTTGCTGTGATTCAAACTATCACATTCTGAATGAGCTCGTAAACAGTACTAGCTTGGCTTAAACGCAAGATAGTATCTTAGCAACTTACCCAGAACTGTTTCTGGAAAAACTGGGGATTCTGAGGGCTAGGATTTTACAACCATCAAAAGTTTGGGGGGAGGGGGGCAGGAGTTGAATCTCAGCGCCCAGGAAACAGCCCTGTCTGCTCCCTGTCCATTCAGGTCCTCATCTCTGATCCCACTAAAGCAGCAGCCACATAAAACCAACTTAAGTAATTCTAGGAGAGTCTGACCCACAGCCTGGCCCCCTTCTGCTTAGATAGCTGGAGTCTCTTCAGGTTTAGGATCTGGAGTTTAGTGGTTGGGATGAGAAGAAGGAAGACTCATGGGAAAACATCAGGACAGGCAATGATGACACTGCATCAGATCTGCTTAAGAGACAAACTGCATTAGGCTCCTTCCTAAGTTGTCATCTACAGCAGCCTGTGAGAGGAGAGAGGAGACTGAAGGGCCTCTCCAGCAACTCTGCTGAAAAAGCAACAATTTTTTTGATCCTCTGGAAAATAATGCCTTTGCTTCTGTTCACTAAGTGTCTGAGTTTGTCCCCCCCCCCCCGATATTCTCCCTCCCCTTTGTTTCATGCCTCTTAGATTGTGAACCTGAGGCTAGTGATTGTCTTCCCAATGATATCAGTAATCTGCTTTGAGAGTCTTTTATCGGCAGAAAAGCAGCATAAAAATGCCAGTCGTCATCACCGTCATCGTCATCACCATCATCTATTTGACCCACCTTTTCACCTCTTCTGTCCCAGATTCATCCTGCCTAACCAATATTGTTTTTGCTTCTTTTAAGGTACTCCTTTTAAAAAAAAATGATCTTTTTGAAGAGCGCACACACACCTTTGGGTCAGCCACGCTGGGCAGGTGAGGAAGGAACTGAATGGAAATGGTTGCATGAAATTATCAAAATACCGAGAAGGGATAGGGAAAATTATGCATGCGCATCCATTACAAGGGAACATATGTAAGTAAGGCTTGCCAAAGGGGCAGGGGAGGAAGGACAGTCAACCAAGCATGGCAGGCAGACACTGAAGAAAGAGCGAAGTTACTTTCTCTTTAAAAGATGACACCTCGATCGACTATCCAATAGCTTAAAGAAGCCTTGTTCTTCTCTGCAGGGAATAGGACACCTGTGTAATGACCCGGGAAGGTCTTACCCTGCTTGATTGAGGAGGACTCGCCCCTGCTGCTTTCCCCTTGATTGAGGAAAGGGCAGCTGCTACTGAGGTCTCTTGTGATGGTGGGCCTTTCCGTCTGTCCTCCTTGGGGACCCCACAGGTTGTCTCCAGCCGTGGTGATGTTGACTGGCGGAGCTCTACCTCTTTTCAAAAATAGACACGATTGCAAGATTCATTGTGGAAAGACTTTGTTGTTGAAGGGAGGGGGCATGAAGTATCGGGGGTGGGAGAATGACACAGAGAGAAAGAGAAGATCTTTGCTCTTCCCCAGTGTATACCGTGTGTCGTTAGGCTCTGGAGTCACAAACAAATATGATTAAAAAGAGTTATTAGCACAAACAGCAAAGGAAATAGCTAAGCTGACTGCAAAAAATTAAATCAACACAGAACTGGTATGGCAGAAAGGGAATTAAAATTTGATTTAGGGGAATTATTTGTAGCACAACATTAGAAGTCAGTAAGCTAATTCCAAAATCTGCACTTCCTTAAAAACGGAGGGAATTTATTTTCAACATGATCTTATTGTAATTATCAGTATGATTCACTGCCTGCATGAGTACATGAGCCAGCAATGAAATCCATGCAATGTCAAGAAGGCTTATCTCTTCCCCTGCCATCTTTGGTTTCTTTCTTTCTCTCCTTCTGTGCCTGTGTGAAGAAGAGAAAGAAGACTGCAAAGTGCCTTGCTGAGTATAAAAGCGACATTTCTTGAAATCTACTTTTCGAGCTATCTCTGGATTCCGATCTTCCCACTGTTTTGAGCCAGCAAATCTGAGACTTTTGGAACAACTTCTAGAATTTACGCCTAAACAATCACCCTATGAGAACTCAAGTTGATAAACCAAGGTGAATCTTGCTTCATTGGTGGTTGAAAACTAATCTAATATTAATACCTGATTTTTCATTTTTGAATGGGTGTTATGGAGATGAATTAGCTCAGAAACAGACAAGAAACTTTCCCACAACATACATTATTTATTTTGCCCTCCTGCCACTCCTGGCCAAACACTATTTATAAGGTTTTAAAACATTTTTAAAGCCCTGCAAACCCCAGTTACCACTTTCATCTCCCTTGAGTGGCTGGGAATGGGTGACTATAATCTGTCCCCAGACTCACTTTTATTGATCTCCAGGGATTGTCTATTTATACAGCAAACCCCAGCCAGCATAAACATTAGGGACATTGGGAATTGTAGTTCAGCAAAATCTGAAGGGCCAGGGTTTGCCTTTGCTGATTTAAATTATAGTATTTTCTTAATGTACATATGCATATATACCTTAGCATATGCAAATTTGTGCCCCCCTTTGTCATCTCTCTCTCTCTCTCCACTCTTCTTTTGTGATGTGTAAGTGACTAGCCAATATAAACACAATGCTCCAATCTTCTAAACCATGGTTTGAGGGGTTGGTAATATGTTGTGGGTCATGTTCTTCCTTCTCCTCCTCTTTTGCTATTGTTCCCCATTTTCTTTTTTCTGGTTCTGCTTCTAACCATTGTCAAGCAAACGATGCTTAGGGCAGAACTATGGTTTGCAATTCTCTTCAAGCTGCAGTTTCAAATAATGGTTTGGACATAATTCCTGGTGAGCACACAGTATAGTATTCCCACTCACAGCAAACTATGCGTAGGAAAGGGAGAGGAGAGAGTGAATAAGCACTGGGCATGTTTCCAAGCCTCTCAATCAAAATGGGACCATGACATCTGAATTGGTTGCATGGGCACTGGAGCACTTGCTCAGCAACCCAGAAATGTCTCTGGAAAAGTCATACTGCTTAAGGCCTATGCTGAAAAGGGAGAGCGTAACCACATTCATAGCCCTTCAGCCATGAAGCAGCAACCCTGAACAAGGTTGCCAGCTGTTCAGCTGGCCACTGTAGCTATGGCCATGTCATAGATACCTTCACCTGCTAATTCCAGCATATCAAGCTGCTATTAAAGTCTGGCAGCCCTAACATTGAGAATCTGGTGGGATGTCTGTTCACGTATGTCTGGACATCAGATGTATCTAAGCAGCTCAGCTAATTCCCTAAATATGTTACATCTGTACCCAAACTGTTAACTTAATTTCAATACCTCAGTTTAAGACGTGATCTTGATCCGTTCGTAGTGGGCCAAAAATACTTTCTGTGTGAAAGCCTGCTGGAAGCCTGCCATGATTTCTCTCCCCCCCACCCACCGCCACCCCACCACCACCAAATTTTCATTGTCTCTCCATTGTTCTCCTGTTTCCTCTTCCCCCTCACTTGGAATCCTCTCCAGGGGTCCAGATTGAGGGGCAGCTTGTGAAGCTTTCACAGTAGCTAACCACAGCCAACTTGCCAGGGCATTATGAAGTTTGTTTGTTTTTTAAGAAAAAAAGAATAAAATAAAAATGAATGTTTTCATTGTTTGGATTTTTTAATACTTTGTTGTGTTTTTTTATTCAAAATCTGTGCACTGCAGACAAAACAATTAGAAAATGCAAGCAATGCTCTCCGCAAACAACCCCAGGGTTAAATTCATTCCCAACATGGATATGGAGCAAGGTCCTCTCCACTAGCGTAAATCAAAATGGTTTGATTTACTGTGGTGACTAACACTGATTCATATGAACTGCAGATCAGCTCTACATATGTAGCTTTATTTTCCCCGCCCGCCCCCCTGCACAAAGCTCTTAATATGTTTCTTTAGATTGTTCTCGAATTGCCATAAATACCATGCTACAGACACCACAAAAATAATGGCAAGTTGGAACACATCTGAGTGACATATAAAATTTGCTCTGTGGCAGATGAGCACCCTGGAGGTGCACAGCTTTGTCATAATATATAAGGAATCTTGGAGCTGATTAAATTATGTCTCTGTGCCAGTGTGTGTGTGTGTGTGTGTGTGTGTGTGAGCATTCAGGAGTATAACTGATTTGTTCCAGAGCTGATTTGTTCAAATGGATGATCTACAGCATATTGGGACATTATTTGGTTCATGTTTTCAAAGATGTCTCGATGGGGGCAGGGGAGGGGTGTGAGAGAGAAACCCAAAACGTAAATATCACATCATGAAAAGTGCCAAGTGATTCCCAAACAACTGGTGCCACGTTACCAGCAGTAAACAACCAGATTCTCACTCCTTGTGCCATCACCACTTTTATAAACTTTTTGAAACAAGACTAGAGGTTCTGTCTTTCTAACCAATATTCCGCTGAACTGAGGGGCAAATAAAGAACGGGGGAGGGGAAGCAGAAAAATGAATTGTCTCGTAATAATATTGTTGCACACCATCCCAGTCTCCAAGCCGTGCAAGATTCCAGGGGTTCAAGATACTAACCCAGGGCTCCGTTTCCTGGGAATGAGGAACAGCAGAGACTGTGGTGTCTGTATGATATAGGATTTATTTGCACATATATACAACCTGAGCCTGTGGGACACGGGTGGCGCTGTGGGTTAAACCACAGAGCCTAGGACTTGCCGATCAGAAGGTCGGCGGTTCGAATCCCGGCGACAGGGTGAGCTCTCATTGCTTGATCCCGGCTCCTGCCAACCTAGCAGTTCAAAAGCACATCAAAGTGCAAGTAGATAAATAGGTACTGCTCCGGTGGAAAGGTAAACAGCGTTTCCATGTGCTGCTCTGCTTCTCCAGAAACAGCTTAGTCATGCTGGCCACATAACCTGGAAGCTGTACGCCAGCTCCCTCGGCCAATGAAGCAAGATGAGCGCCGCAACCCCAGAGTTGGTCACGACTGGACCTAATGGTCAGGGGTCCCTTTACCTTTACCTTTACCTTTACAACCTGAGCCTAGAATGGAGGGGCTCACTCACAGCATTAACTCACAGATTCTGCTTCTCCCATCATCATAGCCTTAGATTCAAGCGGAAATCAAGCATGGCTCTCCCTCTTTGGCTTCTGCCTGCTTCTAACTTTCATCTCTCACACACAGCTCTATTGTCCTTCAATCTAACTATTTGTTTTCTGGTGCAGAGTCACTTCCTTTGTTCCTCTAATGACCCATACTTATGGCCCTTGTCTGGCCATATTAAACAAGGGGCTCCTTCATTGATTTTAACCCTTGCTGGATCCAGGATTTAGAAGGGACTCAGGCATACAGTCTATGCTGCCCCGTCCAAATTCACAACATGATTCATTCTTAGTTCAGTGCTGAGAGGATAGTCTTCAAGGGGTGAAAGCTCTGGAGATTCATGGGGCTGGCCAAAGTGAAGGCCACCTCTTTAGCAGATGACTACATTCTCATTTTCCAGACCAGACTAGCTTTTATTCCTAATTAGTCACATCTTGCTTGTTCTCACTTTCTTTCTGTTTCCCTCTCTTAACTCTACTCACCATAGAGAAATAAACAACACAGATTATTATTTTTTTACCAGTAGAACCTCTGTTGGGACCCAATGAACATTATGCTTCCTCCAGCAATCCAGCTGGGCAAAAGCATCTGAGAGGCATTTAGATGGAGGCCAGTGAAGAGTGTGACCTAGGAAGAATCCTGAGGGCAGGACAAAGAAGCCTGGAAGTCCACATTCAGCCTGTGGGTCAAAGCCCCCACTGGTTTGAACACTCAAAATCCCAAGGTGCATCCTGTTTGTACTTTTTGATTTTGAAACCTATCATATAGTGTACGGGTTTTTTATTCGTTCAGTCTAGCAAGGTACAAGAAGCATGCAGAGAGTAGTTCTAAAGGGTAGAAAACAAAAATTGACATTCTGACTATTGCTCCTCATTATACTGGGGTCTTTCTGGGTCTTTTCATTTAAACTCCATTTTGACTTGAATACCGTTACTGTAGATTATTGTGGAGGTGTTTGTGGATTTTGCACTTGGCTTGCTTTGTGGTTGTGTTTTGAATCTATTTACAATGTTTGTACCGGAAGTCTGTTGTGCAAGCAAAACTGCAACATTGGACACAATCCATTGTCTCTTTGCAACTTTTAAATTGGTTGGTAAGTCGTGCCCAGAAGGAGAGTCAGAAGTGGTTGACCATTCTGGTTGGCTTTGTGCTTTTAGCCTGCATTTCACTATTATAGCATGTGGGACAGTGGTATACACAATGGACAAATGGAGACAAATTATGACACTAAACACCATTGGCTAGGCTAAAATTTGGGAAAGAGTAAACTTTCTGATCCAAGTGTATCCACTGGGATCATGTGAATAGTA